ATATTGCTAAGTAACTTAGGTATATTGTGGAATCCAATTAGAGACAGCTTTCATTATAAGATAACCTTGAAACCATGCGAAACTCGTGTAACAAAGAGGGCTGTGTTGTCGCAAGTTTGCAGATTGTTTGACCCGCTAGGTCTAGTCGGACCTGTCGTAACGTCAGCAAAAATATTGATGCAAGAACTATGGAGCTTAGGCATAGAGTGGGATGAATCAGTTCCCATGCACATTCATAGAATATGGGATCAAATAAGGTCGCAGTTATGTTTGCTCAATAAGGTTAAGATACCTAGGTTAGTAATTTCCGGAAAGGCGGACTCTCAAATACAAATACACGGATTTTGCGACGCGAGCGAAAAGGCTTACGGTGCCTGTATATACCTACGTGAGCAAGGCAGGCAAGGTGAGATAGTTGTTTCATTGCTTTGTTCAAAGTCACGAGTGGCACCCATGAAAATGTTATCGCTGCCGCGGTTAGAACTATGTGGCGCCGTACTACTAACAGATTTAATGAATAAGGTAATAAACAGTTTAAATTTAAAGGTGCAACAAAGATTTTACTGGACGGATTCAACAATTGTATTAGCCTGGATAAGCTCCCCCCCCCCCAGAAAATGGCAGGTGTTCGTCGCGAATAGGATTAGTAACATTCAGGATAATTCTTCACCTTCCGAATGGCGACATGTGAGGTCTAAGGACAACCCCGCAGATTTGATATCCAGGGGCACGACCCCAGAAAAATTGATACAAACTAATAGCTGGTGGGAAGGACCTCAGTGGTTGAAAGAAGAGGAAAGGTCATGGCCAAAGGAAGAGGAGGAATTAGCAATCGAAAACGTACCTGAAAAACGAAAACAAGCGGTAATAGCAGCGGCTGTGACAGATAAAGTAGTCATAGATTATAAAAGATTTTCGTCATTAAATAAATTACTGAGAATAGTGGCGTATATGTTAAGATACATTCATAATTTAGGTTGTAAGAAAGAAAGTCGTAAGTTAGGGAAAATAACTGCCTTAGAAACTGAAAAGGCGAAGTTAGCGATAGTGAGGTTAGTGCAAAGAGAGGAGTTCAAAGAGGATATAAAGGCATTAAAAAACACCAACAAGGTACAACGAAATTCAAAACTAATAGCGCTTCATCCGTACTTAGACGCTAGCGGGATTTTACGAGTAGGAGGAAGGCTGGAACACGCCGGGTTGAGCGAGAAGATGAAACATCCTATATTACTTCCGGCATCACATCACTTCACCACATTAGTAATTGTGCAGCATCACAAGAAGCTTTTTCACGCGGGTGTTTAGACCACTTTAAGTTCAATAAGACAAGAATTCTGGCCAATATTCGCGAAGAGTCGAGTGAAGAAAGTCTTACGAAATTGTGCAAAATGCCGCAAGGCTCATCCTAAGCCTAGCTGGCAATTAATGGGAGAACTGCCGTCCGTTCGAGTTAACATCACCAGACCATTTCACAACTCTGGGGTGGATTACTGCGGACCATTCTACGTGCGAGATCGAGTTCGTAGAAACAGCAAAAAGTACAAGGCTTATGTAGCCATATTCATCTGTATGGCTACAAAGGCAGTACACATAGAATTGGTGGAGGACTTAACTACGGAATCATTCTTGGCAGCATTGAAAAGATTCATATCACGGAGAGGCAAGATCCAGAACATGTACTCGGACAACGGGAGAAATTTTGTGGGAGCAGACCGAGTACTGCAGCAAACAATCGAAGACGAAGAATTTAAGGGAGCTGTTCAGGAGTTTGCAGCAAATGAGCAAATGCAGTGGCACTTTATACCCCCTAGGTCGCCCCATTACGGTGGTCTCTGGGAGTCGGCGGTGCGTTCGATGAAATTGCTTCTAAAACGTACTCTCGGGGAGGTTTGCCTCAAAGTTGGAGAAATGACTACGGTCCTAGCACAAGTCGAGGCTGTCTTAAACTCAAGGCCCCTCACACCGTTATCGGAAGATCCAAGTGATTTAATAGCCTTAACTCCAGGTCATGTTTTGATTGGAAATAGTCTACAAGCTTACCCTGAAAGGAATCTACAAGAAATACCGATAAATCGACTTTCAAGATGGCAGTACACGGAACAACTCAAGCAATGTCTGTGTTCCCGATGGCGAAAGGAATATCTCGCGACGTGCCAGCAAAGGAGAAAGTGGAAAACCGACAGTGGTGCCAAATTCGAAGTAGGGCAGCTAGTTATGTTAAAGGAAAGCGAGTCTATGCCCTTTAGATGAGTATTGGCAAGAATCACTGAAATACATCCGGGTTCAGACGGAATAATCCGAGCGGTCACGGTCCGAACAGAAAAGGGCATATATAAAAGAGCGATCGTTAATATCGCTCCCATATCCGATTAAGTAAGCATATTATAGTTTATACTAAGTTTAGTGTTTAGGTAAGTCCTAGACTGTTCAAAGGTACAAAGTTAAAAATAATTTCCTTTTGTCGTTTTCTTTTTCTTTGAAAATATGTTATATTTGTCAAGGCGGGCGGCGTGTCTAATTTATGATAGTTGATTTTGTCGTTCGTAGTTTTAGTTTCTATAAGTTTATACGTTTTCATTTATGGCGCTTAGCGAGTAAGGCGGCGGTATGGTAGGAGGCGTTATGCGCATGTCAGCAGAGTGGGAGTAGAGAGAAGTAGTAGTTGCGAGCAAGCGTCCAACCTGTACACTCGAGCAATAAAGGAGTGTATTATACGAAGTCATAAGAATCATTTAAGATCCCTTCTACAAATCGGTCACCCAGACGATACAAAGGAGGCCAAGACAGTCAACCACAAGCAAATTATTCAATACTCTTCCAAAAGAAACAATGCATTAGACGAGTTATGTATATTTATTTGATAAATGAAGTATACATATGTTATAACATATGTATATGAATATAATACACAGGGTGCCCCAGAGCTCGCAGCGCACTGAATATATGATGTAACTCGTCTAATGCGTTATAAAAAATTGAGTAATAAAAATTCTTCGTTTGCAAGTTGTTTCACAATTTTACATTTATATATAATATACAGTAGGACTTCCGTTTCCGGTGTGTACAGCAGTGAACACGTGGCAAATCACAGCGCGATAGAAGGTGCAGAGCGAGAGATTGGAGAGCGTAGGAGAGAGAGAGAGGGCGAGAGGAGAGAGAGTGAGTGTGTGTGGAGTAGAGTGAGTGGAGGGAACACCGTAGGAGAAAGGCAGGAAAGGGAGGAGGATAGAGTAGGTGACAGGTAACAAGCGAGCGTAGAGACTGGCGATATAGAGTACCCAGATAACCAAATGTTTGCACGATGACAGCATAATGCATGCACGTGTGCAATGGCGTGCTGTCATATGATGTCCAGCTGCAGCCGCACCTGACGAGCATAGTGACGACACATAGTGCTTAACAGGTAATGCAGGTAGCATGCTAGCATATTGCCTGTCAAAATGTCGGCATCGTGTACGCATATATGAATTTTTGCGAATATAAAAATTTAATACTATATTCATCAATTTGGCTGTGGTCCACTTGATACTATAAATGCTTCGAAGCATTCTTCTCCTTATTAATAAAGAAAGAAGAAGAATGCTTTTAAAGCATTTGTAGCATCAAGTGGACGCAGCCTATATTTTGCAGAAAAATTAATACACACCATTTTAATAGAAAATATTTTTAATAGAAAATATAATATTATATTTCGAATGTGTATCTATATATAGTTCATGAAACACGGGTGCACTTAAGCAATAACTTTTCAAGTGTTCAACATTTCTTCTTTCAAAGAAAAACGTCATTAATCACGCTTTAATCAGTTTTCTTGTTCTCGCGCACTATTAGTTTCGTCTCCGTTCTGATTGTGATTCACACCGTCTTCATGTCGGTCGGGCTTCCGACAAACAAAGTACACGCTATTGTATTCGCACTGTAACATACTGTTTATATTTTGGGCATAACGCGTTTTCACTTTTGCCTGCTCCTTCTGGAAACAAAATAAACGATACGTCAATTGAATACAGGTCGTTCCGAAAGTGTCGCGCGCAAAAACCGAGTTCGTTACCTCCAATTGAAAGCCGAAGCCAAGTATAACGTCGCGGATGGCGTCGTAACTGGGCTCGATCGACTCCTCGTTTGGTAGGTCGCTGAAATGATAGAGCAATGGTCCGAGGTTTATCCAGATGCCGCCCGGCTTTAGGATCTTGTAGATCGTTTCTATAAATTGCACAACATTATTGGCGCAATCTATAAAGAAACATGTCGCGACGCAATCCCAATGATTACTCTCCGCATAAACCTCCAAAAAGTCACCCGCGGTCAAGAACTGTACGAGATAACTTCTGTCTATGTCCAACTGAAACATTATGAATAATTTTACGAGAACGTATTTTCTGTAATTTGTACATTATTGCAAAATGAAAAAACTGTAGAATTAAAGCTATACAAAGATTGTTCGAACGAAATGTAATTCACATTTGTATGTTGAGGTCATGTACAATTGGAAAATCACAGTTTAAAAAATATACGAGTATTATACAGGTAGTGTATTAATTTATAAACATATGTAATATATATGTATACTATCCTTTCTTACTGGAAACAAAAGTGGTGAAAGAAACCTTGTAAATGCGCGATTAGAAACTCTCTTCAATACGACGAGATGCGTTGGATTGCACTAACGACGGCACTGTTCGCACGACAGCACGTGCTTGCACCATGCTTACAGAATACTACATAACCTCACTTTATCACATATACTTACCGTGACAGCACCATGCCAACACTGTCTGCTTTAGTGACATGAAATGGCACAGCGACAGCATAGTGTCTGCATGACACGCTGAGCATAACATGCTAGCATGCTTGGTTATCTGGGTACATAGATAGGCAAGTCGGTAAGGAGAGTTGTAGAGGGCGCGAGATGGATGGAAAGCGGGGATATAGGACGCACATAGAGGGTAATACGAAAGGTAGAAGCGGTAGCGTAGGAGATATACAGGATTTTCTAAGGAAAAAGAGAGCGAGAGAGGGGGAGGAGGGAGGGAGGGAGGTAGGAAATGTGTTTAAGAGAAGCAGTTTAATGGCAAGATCTCCGGGAAAAAAGGAGGGGAACGAGGGGGAAGAAGGATGGAAGGAGGGGGGAGAAGGGGAAGAGAGGATGATGAAGGAGTGGCTGGAGGAAGTGAAGGGGATGAGAGAGG